TCTCTCTCTCTCTCTATCTTCGGTGGATTAATTACGTTGACGCGGAAACTCTTGGGAACTTCAAATTTCGCATAATCCGCAATCGGTACTTCATTCATTTGGTACTTCATTCAGGACAATACCTCTAATTTGCAAACGCGGAATAAACGCGACGGAAAATAGCACATTCTGGAACGAGTTCGTGTCGCGCTGATTCGAAAATAAATTCTTTAATTTCTAAATAAATGCCGATTCAAAAACGAATTCTTTTGTTCCTTAAAAATAATAATGCGCAATAAGTAGAATGTTCAATTTTATAAGAAATATTACAATAATTTTCGTGAAACAGAAAATGTTTCATTCTACGGACATATTAATGCCAATAATCTTGATAATAATCTTTAAATTCTAATCATATTTAGATGGAGAGATAATTAACAAATTAAGATTCCTCGTATTCTCTTAAGGTGAACAAAACGTCAAAAGAATCGCGAATAAAGTTACACTTTTATCTCCATTTTATCTCCATTTAGAATATTATAGACACGAATAAAAAAATCTTGTTTTATCGATTAAAACGGAGTTTTCAAAAGGAAGAAGCAGGATTGGCGTTCTCTCTGTTTTATATTTTACATAAAGAATAATATATACCATAGATGAATCAACTTTCATGTATTGTATGCTAAGGAAATAACATTTAATCCGAAAGAGAACTCCGAGATTCTTTTGTTGAAACGCGGACATTCTATTCCGTTATTTACTGCGTTATATAACGCTCCTCTCGGCTCACAAACAGTTTTAATAAAATGATTTTGACGCAACTGTAGAAACCCGGATTTAAATTCTTTCATATATATATATATATATATATATATATATATCGATTAAAGTTTTTTGTCTGTATATATATATATATATATATATATATATATATATATATATATATATATATATATATATATACAGACAAAAAAGCACTTTAATCGATATAATCCTGGCTTCGGCCTCATAACTTTCGCTAATTCGAGAGAAGTAGTAATCAATTTCGCTTTTATTGAACTCTTCAAAATTTCATCGATTCACGAACCTCCCGAATCGAAATATTGGTTCTACATTAACCCTTGCATATTCCTTGTAATCAATTAATTAATATTATAATAAAATTGAAAGATTAATAGAGAATTACAAAATATAAAACTACTATGTAAATGGTTACCTACACAACACGCGTGTCTCAAAGACATAAAAAAAAGTCTAAAAAAAGTAGGACATCTTTGAGACATGTGTGTGTTGTATAAGTACTTATTATCGCTCTTTTCTCCATGTTGAGATTTAATTACTTCTAGGATAACGGGCTTGCCAGCTTCTTCGCGTTAGACAAGAACAACAAAAACAACGTACTACATCCGTGCACCTAACTTGTGTTTACAATTTCAAAAGGAACTTGTAACGTTACGGAACAATCAAGCCATTAAAAAAATATATGTTCAACAATATAACGTCTGCGAGAATAATATCGCATAGCTTGAACAAAATCTTGATAAAAATAAAAATTTTAAACGTCGTGATACGCTGCGAAATTCTAATCGACGAGTTATCAAAATAGTCAAGTATCAAGTGATTAAAGAAAGATCTGGTGAAAACTTCTGTAACGATCCCAGATATTTTGTTATAAACTGTTAAAAAATGAATATAAATATCCTCAATATTTTACATTTAGTATGTATTCTTAATTTAAAATGCAATATATTATCAATAAAGCAATTTATTTCACTGCAGATAAAACATGCACGATAAGCAAATGTTAAATAATCAATGTAGGTAAATAACGAGAAAATGGGTAGTTGAAGGAAATACTTCATAATATCTCTATTATAGTTTTTTTGACGTTGAAAGTTTCGAAAAAGTTATAAAGATGAAAGTAGCGGTTGTGTGCCTAATAATGCTGTGCGCATCAATAAAGATTTAAATTTAGATTCCGTATAATAAGACTAAACAGAAATGAAAAGGAAAACCTCGGCATATTCAAGATGAGATGTGTCTCACGGCACAAGCAGCATTGTTAAGCGCACAAATCAGCTTGTGGCATTTATACCAAATTATGAGGCCGATATTTATAGTTGTAAATAATTTACGATTTTATTTTGGGAGCATAATCAATAATAAATCAATTATAAATTCATTATCCGGTTTGTTGGATTGAATGTTTCTTGTATGAAATAACGTAATAAATATAAATATAAATTAACGAGTAACCGCAGATTAGTGAAGCTTAATTAATATTTATCAAACAAAGCTATAATTTGTAAAATAAAGCTATATATAATTACTTGTTAAATGACGACAAACTACAAATGCCGGCTTGAATTTCGACACGAGTATCTCTTCATTCTCAGTAAATTAGTCAAATGTCAAAATACCCATTAAAATCAGACTATATTCTATGTAATATAAACCATTTAACTCACCTGGAAATATATGACGTATCGCTGCCCGCGTCCCGGCTTTCTCGGCATCCTGGCTGTTCGTGGTGGCAAATCGGTTACACACACATGTCACTGACACTCGCGAATAATAGTTAATAATAGTAACTATAAGTATAAAATAATACTAATAATAGCGAATATCAGTAATTAGTACAATATGCGGAATTCGATCGGAGAAGCACGTGTCAATGAACGCGATGCCGACGAGAAACACGAGTGAATATTTTACGTCAACGAGAGTGATAAGAGGCACACGTGCTCCGCGCGGCGATGTGTGCGTTATTCGTCGGCTCGGGGCACAATGATGTCATGGGAGAGTACGCGGCGCGTGCGATTATCAAAACAATCGGTGCGGCGTACGCGCAATCAACAATGGCCGCGATCCATTACACGCTCCCAACGGCTGCGAGCGTCATTCTATCTTTGTTGCTCATTGAATGTTAAACAAAGATGGAATGATGCTCGCGGCCGTTAAGAGCGTGTAACGGATCACGGCCAACATCAAAACATTAGGGACTTTTGAAAGTTATCAGGACTGTACATATTGAGAATTTCGCCCGCGCTACTTGATAATCGACGTCGGTTAATGCATGATCACTAATTAATGCTGCGCTTCCGATCGAATCGCAACTGCGGTTCGTGTAAGACCTGATTGAGTGCCTCGCCACAATGACAACCAGCCAGGAGCCAACTCCAAAACGGAATACAGGACGCGGGATGCAACGATAACGAGGCTTGCATCTCTTTCTCTCTTTTACTCTCTTTTACGTCCTTCTTGAATATTTAAATTGCAACTTATGAAAATTGCAATTTCTAAAATAATATAAATATAAAAATAATAATAATAAAGAAATATTATAAGAAAAGATCTGTTATTTTATTTACCCATTTCCAAACTAATTTATTCGTTTATTGAATTATTTAATATTTACTTATCGCACACATACAGTTTACCTGCAGTCAAGTAAATTGTACCATTGATACGTTTCTTATTAAAATTAAAAATAAAAGCGCATGCAAGTTGAATATTGAGACGACAGAATATTAAGTATTTCTTAGACAAGTTCTTTTTTAAGAATTCAACATGGAGGAAAAAGTGACATAGAGTAAGCAATCATATGTAGTATCAAAGGATAACAGTCTGTACAATGTTACATCTTGAGATTTTCTATTAATTCTGCAAATTTGATGGAATTTACACGAGGTTAATATAAAACCGTAATTTCGACGCGGGTCCTAAGAGAGAAAGAAAATATGCCCCTTTTTTAATAAGAGCCACTTGGAAGTTACTTTGTGACTTTTAATATAGAAAAATCACCCTTTCCTGCGGCGATACGACATATATCTTATATTATATTAAAATAGCAATTTTATGTGGCATACATATGTTATTAAAAAAGCACGCTTTATTAAAAAATATATATGAAAAACAAAAGTAGCAGTGAAACACGTGTAAGATAAACTCGAGCGCGCTTACATATGCATAGGCAAATTTTTTTTCTGTTCTTCGTTTAATTGTCGATAACGGAGCAACTAGAAAATTTACACAGCGAGTGAAATTTTCGTCTCCATTGAGAACTGTACGATTTTGATAAACTTGTCACAAGTTTGCCCATCACGTTATCGTCAACGTCATCCAAAATATATTCGCAATAACGGGATTTTTAAGGAATTAGTGTGCTATCGGGGTATCGTCGTAGGTTCTCAATTGTCGAAAATGCCTCCGCGTTAATAAATAACTAAAATTGCTCGTCGGCAAGTGTCGCTGATGCCCTCGAGAGCTTCGGCTTTTGTCGCGGGATATACTTGCGCGGGGAAATTATATACGCGTAATAGAATAGCTTAATAGAACGGAATTAACGGAATTAGTTAAATCTCGCGTCGCGTCTTTCAGTTACGCCGGAGAGTATAATCATACCCATCGTATCCTGCATTCTGGGGTTTCCATTGCTGGCGTTAATGGTAATTTGCTGCCTACGGAGGCGAGCGAAACTCGCCAGGGAGCGAGCCAGACGAAGAAACTGTGATTTGGATCATGGCGCACTGAGCCTCGTCCGTTTCAGCCCGGTTCATCGTGTGGGTGAGTAGCGAGTTTAAAAGTGAAACTAGGACATGCGGCGCACGCGGAACGGATATTTGCCGTGTGAATAGAGACCAAAATCGTTCGCGCAAAATTAAATAAATGCAGCTAACTGGCTGCGACAGAACGTAGCGAACCTGAGGCGGCAAAATTGTTAGATTGCACGACGAGGTTATTATTTCAGATCTCTCTTGTATCTCAACTTGACAAATTGTTATTATGTTTTAATCTGATAAATATATACCTCTATGCTTAAACAAAGAGAAAAAATATCTGAAAAATAAAAAAATACTTAATCTAAATATTGTATCTCATCTAATACTTATATATTCTTTTTAATACGACATATTTACTTAAATAGAGTACATTTTACTTAAATAAAGTAAATTTATTATATACGTTATGTAATAAAAAAAATAATTTGAATCTTATATCTTATCTTATCTAACACACACACACACACACATGTATGTATGTATATGTATATATATGTATGTATATGTATATATATATATATATATATATATATATATATATATATATATATGTATGTATATATATATATATATATATATATATATATATATATATATATATATATATATATATATATATCTTTTTAATACCTGAGAAATAATAATACTTTCTACTAAAAATTGTTATTAATAGGATTAACATATTTACCTAAATCTAAATTATTTTGTTTTAAACAGGACAAACAATCACTTTTATAAAAAGCAACTGTGTTCTAGGAAATTATATATTTTCTCATTTGAAAAAGATTTTTTCTCAGCATAAAAATATATATACTATTATAAGTAAACATGTTATATTAATATACATCGAATAAATATTTCATGTTATTCAAATATTTTTTCTCTCAGGGTAATTTCAACATATGCATATTTTATAATCCCATGCTTACATTTATAAATTTTTAATTAAAAAAATAATAAGTACAACTATATGACTGCGACAAAACATGGCAAATGTACGTTGAAAAAAATACTTGAAAATTTAGTTGTGAGATATAAAATGTACTTTTATGAATAAAGACTTTACAACCACAAATAAATTTTCCAGTATTTTCTTCTCAGTATATTACAGCAAATTAGAAGCGCGACTAGATTTTCATACATTTGCATCTCCAATGTATCTTAACTTGACAAATTATTCTTGCATTTTAACAAAATAAATATACACTTTACGTACCTAACGTTAAAAAATGGGTGATTAAAAGTATACTTTAATAATCTCTAAATATATATTTTAATGTCATAATAATCTTCTCTATTTATAAATATTTTAATCTCAATATATTTTTCCAATATAAATTGTTTAGCGTTACACGGGAAAAATAAATAAAAATTGCGCGTTGTATTTTCGATGTTCATTATAACATATCGGTGTGTACAGCCATTCCAAAGCGTCAGCAATTTAAATTGTATCTATAAATAACGCAAAAAATATATACGTAAGGTACACCAACGCGTTTGCTCTCGTTCTTTTTTTCGTTTCTATAATGACTGCATTGTTTCTCTCTCTCTAAATTTTTTTCTCAGGCTCCTGGTTGACTAAATGCACGCACATATACACAAACACACATACATATATATATATATACACATAGAAGTATCTCCCGAGGGCACGTAAATGGACTCGTATATACGTATATATCGGATGTGTGTACACGACTATTGGAATAAACATAAAGAGGGCGGAAGAGGCACTAAAGCAGATTGAATCCCAGTCTGCATATACGAATACAGTGTTCACGTACTGACAGTGGTTATTTTTAGCTTAAAATTGCAGGACGCGCATTTGGACGGTCGATGGTACTTGCCTGGTGGTGCATATTCGGAAAAATCTCGATAAAACGCTACATCCACCGTCCCTTTCGTCCTTTTACGCACAGTAATCCCGATATTATGAAGTTTATTGCGTGCACGGGGACAGAACGCGCACACAAGATACTATTCCCGGATTTACAGATCGAACATGCTCCCGCGGATGAAATCGTATTCCAACGATGAAATTTTCCGCCGCGCATCTGAAACTCTCCTTCAAATCGGGGATAGGATCGCGGTGAGAATCAGCGCACTAAATGGATTCCGCACGACACACGGAAATAAATCTCTCTAACCCCGGAAAATCACGAGCCCCTCCCACGATATCGCGGCGAAACGGATCTGTCGCATCGCGGTATCAAAAATGGGATCTTATGTCGCGCTTAATAATCCATTTCCGCGAAGCCCAATGCGCCGTACAAAATACGATGCTCCGGAGTCCCATTTTTCTCATAACCGCACCGCGACGTCTTATCCGCGCGCGCAGATTTTACGTATGTACTTCCGCACGACCGGCTATCAGCCCCGTGGATCGTCGCGTTATTGCCCCTTCGCTTGGACGCTCATATAAAATTCGTCTTAAGTTGGAAAGAGCTTTTTTGTTACTCAGACGGTGATTTCTCACTGCGAGAAGGAGAGAATCAACGATACTAGGCCAAAATGCGACACAAAACATGACTCCAACTCGAAATGCTGATCCTACTTTCGATCTCAGTATTTCATTTAACACTTACTTTGATACTCTGATCATATATCAATCTTCTTCGACTCTACTTGGTTCACTAGCTTTGCCGAGAGATCCTCTTTGGAAACCTAGCTTCTATAAGTAGCACTTTGTACGTTTTCTGCCATTTAGAAGCGCTAAGTAAGGCTTCAGTTTCCATGTGTGTTAAACACACATTAATCCTTTAAAATATAGAGATGTTAGAAAGTTCAGGTCGAAAGTCGGGCTGAAATTTCAGCTCGAGAGAACATTCCCGAGTCGAAATTTGGTGATCCCACTTTCGACCTCAATATTCTATTTAATACTTACTTTGACATTCTAAATCAACTTTTCCCTACATCAACTTTTTTTTATTCTATTTCATCTACTAGCTTTCTGCTGAGAGATCCTCTTTAAAATCTACAAGTGGCATTTTGTGCGTTTTCTGCCACTTAGAGGCGTTAAATAAGACTAGTTTTCATGTGTATTAAACATACACCGAACCTTCAGAATATACAGATGTTAGAAATTTCAGATCGAAAGTAGAGCTAAAATTTCGACGCGGATTCGTATACTCCAATGCATTCTTCGACTCCTGGCCATTTACATATTGTTTCCGGGGTATCAGTAAACGATTGCGTAGCTCGATGAGAGCAAATTTATTCACTTTATCGTCACCCCAAATTGCTTGCATAAATTGCCGTGATGCTTAAAATTAATATCGCGTGTATTGTATGAATAATTTGTGCAATTTGGAATACGATTGCCCCCTATGTGCGAGTGCGTGTGTGTTAATATTACAGTACGAAAGACCGATTTTGATAGAAAGCGTTAATATTCTTATGAACCGTGAATTATAATCGACACTAATTGAAAATATCTATTTAACACCGACCTAATTAATGCAACGCATCGCACGTAATAATAATAATACGTATTTGCACAAAAGACGCGTTACATTACATTAGATATCATCGATGATATCAATGGAATTTATTTACAAAAATCTGGAGGGGGAAAATATAATATTGGAAATGTCAAAATGTCGCAATAAATAAAATGCCTTGATATTTTTATATCTGATGAATTTATTTGAATCACCATGTCGCAATTTCATCGTATTAATTTGCGTTTAACGTACTTCAGAGACAACAATAGCGCATTCGTGCCACGAATATTTCAATACGACGTGTAATAAAAATACAAAAGAGGACGTGTGATAAAAATAAAAGAAAGAAATGACATAAAAGTCGCGCGGAGCACGCGAGAAATTCCTAACGGTAAGATTCCGGCGATACATTCGGATTTATAACTCGTAACTCGTTACAGTGTCGACGGGCACGCGAAAGAAGGAAGAATCGACGCGCAATGCGCGGCCCAGAGAGGCGGATTTATTTCCTGCACGTACTACTAAGCACGGTCGGCCGTTGGGGAAAAAGTTTTTTTATGTTCACGTCGCGGAGAACCCATCGCACGAGGCGTCGTGTCCACCGCGACTGTCACGAGAGGCCTCGATTTACGACAAACGAGAGCCAGTAGACGGTCGCTCGGGGTCACTGTCTGATGCACATAATAGTCCGAGTACGAAATTTATCGCCCGAAACTAATGAGGGTCGGGAGGTATCGTCGGTGGAACGCGAAAGGCGAACATATTATATGAGCAGAGCAGAGTGCATGGACGTTCGACTTTCCGCTGAATTTTCCAACGACAAACAAGATACCGTCTGTATAGCGCGGTTATCGGTGTTGCACAGCGCGCTGCGCTCTGTTTCCTTTTACTCGAGTATCATACCGCGATTTCAAATTTATTTCCGACCGGATGAGAATCGCAATTCGCCACGCGCCAATATGATGTGCGAGGAATATCACAGCGGGAAAATATTAAATAACGCAAAGATCTCGATTTCGCTTAATTAATTATTTTGCCAATCGAGCCGCCCCATTGCACACATGCGAGGTGAAATTGTATTTTGCCAGGCAAACGCGTCATTCGACGTGCACGCTGAAATTCACGCGTGAAGAATAATCTCCTACACACTGAGAAGAAATACTTGACAATTTATTTGCGGAACGTAAAATTTATTTCGGTGAAATAAAGTTTATCCCTGTAAAATAAATCTTATTTCGCAGAAATAAATTATTTCTGCGAAATAAAATTTATTCCTGTGAATAAACTTTACGTCCTACAAATAGGTTTACAAGTATCTGTTTTTTTCAGTATGTATATTTCAAATGAAGTCCATTCAACACGATGTGCATGTACCTTTCTAATAAAGTCATACTCAGCGACATTTAATCTTCGCACTGAAAAACGTCGTTCATGTTCGTTTGTTGTTGGCAAACGCAGCATCGAGAGAGGACTTAGGTAAAATATGACATAATTGTAGAATCATTTCTAGAAGTCTGCGCCCGGATATATGCATCTCGTGAAAATTTGCACTTCCGTTTCTTTTTTCTCTTTCGTTTTTCTTTTTGCCATTCACTTTTTTCCTTTGTATTATTTACGAACGCGAAAGCTACGCTGATCGCATCGTGCCGTAGGATTTCATTAAAAGCTAGAAACTAATTAGATTTGTGCGAGAATGCTGATGAAATGCAAGCTCACGTAACGTCAAATTGGTATGCATTGCAAAATATTTAAATAGATAGCTGGACGCAACATCAAAGGGGGAGGGAGAGCACCCTCCGTTATACACTTCCTCCTTTATTTCGCGAAAGCAAAAATCTGCCCGGCGCTACGTTTTTCTCACAGTTTGCTCTCGCAAGAGGAGAAAAGTCACAGCAAATCAGATTTGCATGTTTCGTTTGCATAAATTAGTTTCGCCAGCGTAGGAATCTTAGATTCTCCTAGCTGATTTAAGTAGAACATTCCGACGTCGAGTTTCCCGATCGACATATTGAATTACCCTCCGCCAGATAGATATAGATATAGATCTATTGCGGGAATTTCAATATACACATATCGTTCGCCAAAGCGGAGCGAGCGTCATGAATAATAAACAAGGGGAACATTTTTTAATTCCTATCGCGTCAAACGCATTCGCGCGCCATTATTAATCGCCGCAACGGACGTTAATCTTTTCATCGTCGGACTACATGTAGGTTAAGGCTACTCATATACTGACTCTAATCTATACTATATTGGATACACGCAATCTCGCAGTACACATGAAAAAAATAATTCCTTACTGAATATAAAAAATAAGTGAGAAAGAAATTTTCTCTTTCTCGAATCACAAATGTTATTTCACTCGTTGCCAAACGAATTGGCACGCGATATTTATTAATTTTGCGCGTTGTGGCACTTTAAAGGTTAGCCTCACTTCACGTTATTTATAACTTGCCACAGAATTCGCGCGGTAAAATTCCATCTATAATTTCATTTGTCAATATAAAGAACGTTTGGAAACGTATGTAAATGTACACGTATGTGTATGTTGTGCGTGTATCTACATAATCACTCATCTGTACTGTAATTCTATGTAGCTGTATGCTTTCACACAAATGCAGTATCCTGTCGCGAATAATGGATCGTCTAAAGTGAGATTTAATCGCAAATCGATGCTGTTAATGCTCAAGGGGTATGCGTTACGTCGCATTTCGGCCGTTACATCTCGCGTCGTTAAACTTTCAGGCGACATGGCGCGAATGCGTTTGAGCGAGACGAAATTAACCATAACGACGCTCGATCACTCACCGACATGATGTTCCCGCAGCCGGTGTGGATCGCCAAACGCGCACCGTATCCTTGCGAAGCGAGCGAGGATCGCGAGCCTTTCCGTCCCTGGAGCTGGATACGGTCGTCGAAGAACGTTCGGATCCTGAACAAAGTACCGCGCTGGAGCTCAGCAGTCCAGATTAGCATTCAGCCCCGGCACCGAGGTGATGGCGCCAGTCGTAACGTATTATCACCGACGCGATATTACTAAAGACTGTCAGCCCTGGGTAAATTTTCGACCCGGCCAAAGGGCCCGGAGGGGCTCGGAGGTAATTGAAGAACGATGACAATATCGATCATTTTTCATATAAAGACGCTTCTGTCTGTCCATGTGACTACCCTTACGAAAAAAAATACGAAAAAACCCTCAATTTTGGGTGTTAACACTCAAATTTAGGTGTTTATCCCCAGTTTTTGGGTGTTTACATCCAAAATTGAGGGTTTTTTTCATATTTTTTTCGTAAGAATACACCATCGACATGTAGTAATGGACCGAGCATTGTGCCAAAATCGTATTGACAGACGTAGAAAAAAAAACCATATTGACAAACATAGAAAAAGCCAAGACGATGTAAATAGAATAACAATAAGAATATAATAACAATAGGATATAAGAAAAAGGTGAAATATAAAAATGTACGGTCAAATTTCTCGGGGTCGCTAAAGCCCTTAAGACCGACGGTCTTTTATAGTATCTCGTCGGTATTATGCTCCGTGCACTTAGGTGCACTATGCTTTCTGCACCTACAACAAATAAGATAGATAGCATATTTAAACAAATAAGATAGATAGCATATTTAAAATTTAGCAGGATATTCAAAATCTAGGTGGGAGAGAGAGAGAGAAAATGAGAAAAAAACTCTTATTCTAAATTTTCTTGAACGGTGTAAATAATAAATCTATTCTAAATTCTCTTGAAAAGTATAAATAATAAATCGATAGTATAAAAATATCTCTAATACACAAAAAATATGTAAAAATAAAGAATATTTATCTCTAGTGCTATTGAAAACATATTTACTTAAATTTGAATTCTCTCATTTAAATAGAATACAAATAGTTTTCATCAAAAAATTATTTCAAGAAAATGTCATTTTCTCACTTGGAAAGCATTTCATATTGATATAAGTAAATATGTTATTAATATCCCACATAGCATATATCATAGTAATATTTCCGTAATATTGCAATATCGCAGAAATATTAGGGAAATATTACTGTGATATTATATCTATTACGTGCTATGTAGGACACTATATATAATATTAGTCAAATATTAGAATAAAAATATTTCTTATTTATTACATATTTTTTCTCTTAGAGCAAATTTCCTAATTGCCTTGCAGTCAAAGTTAGATGCGTTTTTACCGATGAAAAATGTTCAAAATAAGAAAAATAAAAAGATTATTTCGGAAAAGACGAAAAGCACGGTGAAAACAAATGGATTTCGAATATACACGATACATCTCAAAGATATGTAGAGTGATCTCATATTTTGCATCACCCACTTGAGAGCACAGAAATATGGTAATATTTCTTGAAATATTTCGAAAAGTGAAATAAGAAATTCAACGCTATCATATCTAACATTTTAGGTAGAAGAATGACGTCTAAAGACATCTTAATGACATATTACTAAGACTTAGAGATGTCATTAAGACGTTATTTGACATCACCGTACTACCTGGAATTTCAACACATCTTACATACATTAATAACGTATACATTAATTATGTTCTGTTCGAGCAGGTCGCCACGACCATCCAAATCCTTGGCGGTGCCATTGCCTGTGGATCACAGTCCATTATGGACAGCTTTGACGCACGCTAACGCGGTCTCTGCGGCGTTAGGAGACACCTAGCAGGAGGTGGAAGACGGCAGCTATATCGAAGCTCTCGTCCTAGATCTGCCAATCATCTACTGACCGGCCATTCCTTCCGAAAACGGAGACTGAAATAGGAGCATCGGAGGAAGACCGGACAGCTCGTTCAACACTACCACGCGCGAGAACAATCGCGTGATTAATACTTAATATCTCGTGAAGAGAATTTCCGTGAATGAAATAAATAAAACATTTACATGTGACATCGAAAAGATACAATATTGTGCGCTTTTAGCGCGTATTCAATGTGCCGCTGCAACGCACGTGAAATTTTGTACTACTTACTATTCGCGAGCACGGCTTTTTACACGATAGTCATAATCCCGAACGTACGCAGCCGTAGGAAGTAGCTGGTCTACGATACGAGTGTGTCAATGTGAATATATAAATTCGTTCGTGTACAAACGGAAATTGAAATTATACAAATAAAGTATTATTCGTGTCTGTATTATATACAGGGCGACATTGTATAAAGGTGTGTTGTTCGTTGAGAATTCATTTAGATATCCCAAACATCCCATCTTTCTTTTTTAAACGAAATTATAAAAAAAAATTACAATAGTCAGTTTTATTTATCTACATGAAATCTGTAAGCAAAATATCTTTTAACAATGAACTCTTGTATTAGAAGATAAAAAGATTTCAATGACACTGTGCAAGTCTTAATTAGAATATATATATATATATATATATATATATATATATATATATATATATATATATATATATATATATATATATATATAGATATATA